AATTTATTTTTACCTTAGTTTTATTCTGTGGACTATATTAGTTTGGCATTAGTTACCACCTATCGTTAGTTACCGCATGTGATTTCATGAAAAAAAGGAGTAAATAAATACAGTCGCTCAGCTATGAGGATACCTTCTAAGGAACAGCTCCTTAGCTGATCTCATCATTGTACAAACATCACAGAGTGCACTTACACAAACCTAGGTGGCATAGCCTACTCCATGCCTAGGCTATATGATACAGCCTACTACTCCTTGGCTACAGACTTGTTCAGCATGTTATTATACTGGATACTGTCTGTGACTACAACACAGTGATAGGTGTTTGTGTATCTGCACATATCTAAACACAGAAAAGGTACAGTGGAGACACAATAAAAGATGGAGACATGACAATATAAAAGATGGAGAATGGTGCACCTAGATAGGGCACTTACCATGAGTGGAACTTGCAGGACTGGAAGTTGTTCTGGGTGAGTCAGTGAGTGAGTGACAAGTGAATGTGAAGGCCTAGGACACTACTGTAGACTTTATAAACACTATAAACTTAGACTATACGAAATTTATTTTTAAAATGTTTTCCTTTCTTCAATGATAAATTACGCTTAGCTTATTGTATTTTTAAAAATCTGTCAACTTTAATTTTTTTTTTAACTTTTTGCCTCTTTTCCAGCAACACTTGGCTTAAAACACAAACACTGTGAATCGGTACAAAAATATTTTCTTTATATCTTTATTCTATCAGTATTCTTCTGTTAACTTTTTTATTATTTTTAAGGTGTTTTGTATGCAATTAAGACACAAACACGCATTAGCCCATAGCCTAGGACTACGCAGAATCAAGATCATCACCGTCACGAGGCAATGGGGACTTTCCAGTTCTATTATGATCTTATGGCCACTGTTACATATTCAGTCCATCCTTGGCCAAAAACGTCATTTCGCGGTGCATGACTATTTAAGTCTTTTCATCTTGTATTAAAAGTGTGATCATGAGCCATAATGAAAACACAATAAAAGTGCTAGAATGAAAATTATCTGGGAGAATTACAGTAAGGGAATGGGGAAAAAAAAAAAAACATTATTTATTCTGGATCAAAACACAAGGGAAGGACCAATCACAGAGGAGAGGTTTGGATTATGAAAGCAGACGGCCTGGATTCCACCCGGCTCTACCAATCACTAGCTGCATGACTTTGGGCAAAGAATTTACCTCCCTGGTCTCACTGTCCTCATTTTTAAAATGGTGATGTTAACAAAACAGTGCCCACCACGTCGGACTGTGATGAGGCATAACTTAGTTGACATCTCTAAAGTGCTTAGAAAAGTACTCAATCAATAGTACCAGCAACATAAGTGTTTGTTAAAATTAGTTTCAATTCGGACTTGAAGGTAATAATGATTTTAAAAAGGCAAGGCAGAGAAACAAGTGAGCAAAGATATAGAAAAATACAAACACCAACTTTATGAAACAAAGCTTCTACCCTTTGTTTCATAACGGGTAGGTTGTTAAATGTACAGGGTTGGTTAAATGCACAGGAAATATGGCAAAATAATCAGTAAAGACTAAACTGTAGAAAAGATTTGAGGAAAAAATGTACGAGAAGGCTTTGAATTCCTGCTGTATGAATATAAACATTGTACTGTAGAAACAAGGTGTTTAAAGGATTTGGGACTGAGGAAGACCATAATCACATGAAGGAAAGAAAGTGGGTTGTGTGTTCAGTGCCCTGCTGGTGCCTAGCATATGAGCTGCTTATGATTTCAAGTACACAGGTGGTAACCATAAGTACACAAATAAAGGCATTTAACTCTGACACTGAACCAGCCATTACTCCACCACGAACTGAAACCAGGGTCTAAAATTTGAACTGAAAAATAATGCTATCACAGAATATTAACCATCAAGACATTAAAACAGCATTAAATGACAAGCAATGCATATACTGCAATCACAAGGGATGGGTTTTCATCTGTGCAGATGGAAGTATCTGTCCAGGTATTGCAATCAAAATAAACAAAAAAACTGCTTCTGTCTTCCTCATCTGTTCATAACATTTTCAACAACTTAATTTAGAAACTGACAACTGAATTATAAATCATATTCAGTAAAAATGGCAGATCTAGTGTAAGGAATGCAATACCCCCTAAACAACAGCAGTGGGTATGCTCGATTCTCCACACTCTATTCTGGAGGGGATATTCATTCTGTGCTGGTATTCTGCAAAAAGGTATACGTAAGAGTAATTTAATCCTAAGTGAAATATCACTGGGTTAATTTTATTACATACACACATATATAAAGATATGTATATATATAAAATAAATGTTGTAACATGCACTTTTCTGTGTACTAATCTTACTTGTATAAAAGTTATATACAACAGCCACAGGAAACTAATATACCAGGTAAATAATTTCTTATGATGAATACTACATATAGTGTTCATATATATATGTATATATATCACTAAAAATAAAGTGTGTATATATTAATACATACAGAGATATCTTTTTATCTACATTTCACTAAGAAGACTGGAATGCTGACATATAAATGTCATTTCTGGGAGACTTCTGTTTCTCTTTTTAGCTTATTTTCATTTTTGTAGAGATGGGGTCTGGCTATGTTGCCCAGGCTGCTCTTAAACTCCTGTCATCAATCAATCCTCTGGCCTTGGCCTCCCAAAGCACTGGGATCACAGGCATGAGCCACTGTGCCTGGTCTGTTTCTCTTTTTACTTATCTATATGTATTTTCTGTTCACTTTTTGGGTGAGATTTGAGGACAGATGCTTCAGTCTCTATTATTTCAAAGAGCTAAGAGACAATGCCTTGATTGGGAGGTTTGCTATCTGCTATGGCACCAATAATGCACCTGGCCACTATGAACCATACTATTTACCTGCATCTACAAATAAACAAACAAACATAAACCAGTCATGTAATAAGTTTGGAGACTTTCAGAAGAGTTTTAAAAATGTATTTTGTTGGCCGGGCACGGTGGGTCACGCCTGTAATCCCAGCACTTTGGGAGGCCAAGGCAGGCAGTTCACGAGGTCAGGAGTTAGAGACCAGCCTGGCCAACACAGTGAAACCCCGTCTCTACTAAAAATACAAAAAAAACAAAAAAAAATAGCCAGGAGTGGTGGCAGATGCCTGTAATCCCAGCTGCTCGGGAGGCTGAGGCAGGATAATTACTTGAACCCAGGAGGCAGAGGTTGCAGTGAGCCAAGATAGTGCCACTGCACTCCAGCCTGGGTGACAGGGCAACACTCCATCTCAAAAAATAAATAAATAAACAAAATAAAATAAAATATATTTTGTTGTATTTGGCTTATAAATGTACAACTTCCCATCACAACAAAGATAAAACTAACTAGACTAGTAGGCTACTCAAAATTATCCTGTCCTAATCCCAGGGACCTTATCTAGAAAAAAAAATTTCTAAATAAGGTTACCTTATCTAGTTACGTTACCTTATCTAGAAAAATAAATTTTACAGATGTGATTCAGATCTTGAGATGGGATTAACCTGGTGTGCTCTAAATATAATCACATGTCTCCTTGTAAAAGGCAGGCAGAAGGAGATTATAGATATAAGAGGAGAAGGCCGTGTGAGGATGGAGAGGCTAAAGCGATGTGCCTACAAATCAAGGAATGTTGTAGTCATCAGAAACTGGAAGAGACAAGGAAAGGAATCTCCCCTAGAGCCTCCAGAGGGAGAACGACTTTGCCAACACCTTGACTTTGGCCTAGTGACAGTGATTTTGGCATCTGGCCTCCAAAACGATCAGAGACTATATTTCTATCACTTTCAGCCAAGAAAAATCTGTGGTAATTTGTCACAGCAGCCACATGAAACTAATGAAGCAGGTAAGTAAGTTCTTAAGATTTCAAATAAATTTAATGGTATAAAAAATAGAAATGAAAGAGATTTACCATTTACTGAGTACCTACATAAATTATCTCATAAAATCATCAGTAGCAACCCTATTACTATTAGCTCTTTTAATTAGTAGAGATCATACCCATACCTATGTTTCTTGCATAACTGCTCTGACATTGCTCTGATCAGCAATGCAAATTGAGGAAGTGACTTTTATTCTCCCAAATAAACTTAGAGATGTACAAGAATGCTATTTTAAATTATTTCATGCAGAATTCTATCTAAAATAAAAATTTATCCATAGTCATTAGTTTAATTGAAAAAATCTGCATTACTTCTTTCCACTGACTTCAAAGATTGAAAAATTAAAAATAATTCTCAATTAAATTTGAGATAGTCACGTCAGATTTATGATTTCTTTAAAACATTTTTCCCATTAACATTAATCACCAATCCAAGGACAGAAATAAAAAATGTGTGTGCCTAGACCAGCTCAGGAATTTACAGATACCACAGAGCATTTAGAGTGAATAAAATGGCAACAAGCATGTGGACACTGACTTGGTGTCTGACACTGTGCTTAGGATTGGTGATGTGGCAGTGAAGTAGCCTGATGGTTTACTCAATGGCAAAACACAAGGGACTATTGGCCCAATCTTCGTATCAATGCCATTACTTACATAAAAAACAAGTCTCATTTAAAAAAATTAATATTATAGTGAATAATAATATTCACATAGAATCATCAGATAATAAGTGTCACAGGTTATATTTAAGCCCAGGAACATCTCACTCCAAAGTAAATCCCCTTAATATGACATCACATTGTTTGACTATAGACTTAAAAAAGTTATGATTATGATTTTTAAAGTGATGGGGGTCTCACCACATTGCCCACGTTGGAGTGCAGCAGCTATTCACAGGCACTATCATAGCATACCATGGCCTTGAACTCCCAGCCTCAGATTCCCGAGTAGCTGGGACTACAGGCATGTGCCACTATGCCCACATGAATACAAGTTTTATTCAGATAGAACTATTTTTGGCTACTAATAAAGAAAATATTAAAACTGCTGCAACGGTATGTTAACCTAAAAAAAAATTACGCTTACCTGGTTATTGCTGGGGCTGGTACACCTCTTGTACGCAAGGTGGGTTTCCCTCGAACCACTGGAACATCTGCATTTTCTGAACCACCATTCAAATATGTTAATTCCTGGAGCTGTGCTTGCCTGATCTCATCATTATAGTCCTACACAAAAGACAGAAGATAGCAAAATTCACTTCATATTAGAAATACAAAAATATTTAGAACAAAAAGCAAGTAATTCTTAATAGAAAAAAAGGGTTAGGAAAATAGTTGAATCAATTTACAAAACAATAAAATAAAAATTTGCTAAAATAAAAATGTGATAATATATTTTTGTAAAAAAGGAAGAAAAAAAACTATAGCATTTTTTTCTCAAGCTAAAATTTTCTATAATCAGCCACTAACCTTTCTCTGGGCATACTTTGCAACTGAGACATTTATAATAAAATTAAAATATCATAAAACTGATATATGAGTGTTGTTATTTGCAACTCAATTCAACTAGCAGGTATTGATTACCTATAATAAACCAAGTAACAGAGAAACAAAGAGGAATTAAGCAATAGCCCAGCACCCAGGGACTTCAATCTAGCAAAGAGGAAGGATATATATACATACAACAGGATAGCCTTCATGTACTTAAGAACCACAGGGACACAGGCTTTTTGCACATTTCCAATAGAAAATTATACAAGTTGTGAAATTCAACATTTTCAGAACTGAACACATAATCTTATTCCTGAAAATTTGCTCTTCTCCTTTCATCTTACATTATCATCCAAAGATTCAACTAAGAAACTCTAGGGGTCATCCTTGATTTCTCCTGCTTCCTTAGCACCCTGAACTCCATTCAACAATCATCAACTAAGACATGGGTAAATGTAAGCGTAATCTATTTTACAAAAAAGGGAAAGTTCAGGTCTAAAGGATCAAAAAGGAAATAGTAAGTTCATTACAAGAAGTGCTGCCTCAGGATGAGAACTAAAGGGCTAATATCCAAAATCTACAAAGAACTTAAACAAACTTACAAGAAAAAAGCAAACAACCCCATCAAAAAATGGGCAAAGGATATGAACAGACACTTCTCAGAAGTCCTAATTTCATGGGATTCATTAACAGTAAAGCCACTACTGTCAGAAACAGTGGTTTGGGTGAAAGGTAGAGATGGAATCCGTTTCAGTGGAATAAATAATAAACAGCAGTAAGCCAGAGAAAGTAAAGGCAGGCAGCTGCTTCCAGCTGTATGGGCACAATGAAAATGAGAGAGAAGATCATAGTTTTCAGGGAGGAGCAGAGGATTTTAAGACAGAAGAAACATGAGCAAATAAGAGTGTAAATAGAAGATTTAGAGGAGACAGATTCCTGCATTATTTATTATTTAGAATTAAAAACCTGAAAGAAATTCAGGAAATTTATTTTTAAAATACTACCTCTTTTCAAAAGCAGAATGCAAAAAAATGATTGAAACTTGTAGTAGAAGGCATTCTGGAATTAAAAAAAAATATGAACATCAGTCAAAAAGAAAGTTAAAATCATAATCAGCTAACACTTGCAAAGCAGGAAGAAGAGAAGGCAAATGACGACCAATACAAGTCACTGTGATTGACAGGGAAAATTAAGAATGGAGTCAATACTTTATTGTAAATATAAATTACTTCTCTGACTTATTTCAGGTATTGTGACCTCAGGGGAAGCATCTGGTTCTTTCCATCATTATTTCAACCTCTCTAAAATAAGCCTATTAGTATGTTACCAGCCATTTTACTGAAAATGTGTGAAGATTAACACATACTTTGTAAAGCACATTCTAAATAAGTGATTTGTAAAGCTCTAAATATAATGTGCTATATAAATGGTAAATATTTGACCTGCTGAAAAGTTAGGAGGTGTAATACTAAATTGTATGAAGTTAAAAATAGATTCATGCAAAAAGAACACAGTCGAAGCCCTATTCAGAAACAACATTAAAAAATATTGTTCTAAGTAAGGTTAGATGATTATAACAGTATCACAAAAACTATAACGTCCATTTAAAATACCATCTTTGAAAAACTACATTTAAGAAATATGGAATTTGAATCAATCACATCTGAGGTTAAGCCTAAATTTAACCAACTGAACTTAACAGCTATGTGATTTTAGACAATTTTTTAAAATTCTAGGTGACTGTTTCTCCTGGTGTCAAATGGACCCTGCTGATATTACCATTATAGTTAGAATTTTCTTGGTCTTTGAAAAAATGCTTTTAAATTAGTAGAGAATGCAAATCATTCATAGTAGCTTACAGACTAACTTATTTTTGTAATTTTGCATTTTAAATTATCATTTTTAACTCCCCATCTGAAAAGTGAAACTATTACAACATTAATATTAACACCATCATGAATTGTAAAGAGCGGAAAAGCCATTAAAATTTTGATTAAATATGTGTAAGCAGGACTTGACTATCCAGTGAGCTTAGAATCTATTCAAATATATGTTAGCCTGAAGAACGGAGAAAAAGTTTTTAAATGAAGTGATTAAAAGTAACTCATAGAAATTCAGTGGGTTCTCTGTTAGGAATTTACTCTTCAGATATATTTGCTAAAATATGCCAACAGTTATGTCCAAGGTTAATCCTAGGATCACTGTTTGTATTGTGATCTATAAGAAGTAACCTCAATGTTCATTATTTGAGGGCCAATTAAATAAACTCTGGAACACGCATATAACAAAATATTATGCAGACAATAAAAAGAATGAAATAAAACTGCATATGCTCATAGGAACAAGGTCCAAAATCACCTAAGTTAAAAACAAAAGGTACTAATAGGACATGCCACTTCTGGTACAGCTAAGGGAGGAGCTCAGCAAAGCCTCTCCCATAAAAAGCAAAATAAAAACTGAGGAAATGGTTCAAAGTAACCATTTTAGGAGTTGAAAACTGACTAAAGGTACACAGTAAACTGAAAATACAATGTATTTATTCATTAAAAAGTGCTACATTTCAAGTAAGAAAAATGAGTCTGGCCGGCTTGCCAAAGGATGCACCTAGTATTGCCGTCTTGGGTGGCGTCAAGAAACTGACCATCAGGCTAGCCAGAAATTGGACAGAGATTCAGGAAATGAGACAGTCTTGAAAAGCTCGCCACACTCCTCCGGCTGGATGGAAGGCTATGTGCATGGACAGCAAGAAGAGAATGAGGCAAAGCTCTCCATACAACCTTTCCTGAAGGCGAGTACACATATATGCAGAGGAGACAGGAGGAATCCCAGAGCAACAGATAAGCCAGGGTGGACATGACGAGAGTCTTCTTGGATCCACTCCCCCATGCACACGCACAGCTCCATCATTAGAGGATGGAAACCTCACTAACACAGCTGTGTGAACACAAGCTCCCGTTGGCTGTCCACTAAGCAGTGCTGACACAGACAATATCCCTAGCAGGCCAGGTTTAAAAATAAAAGCAACAAAACAAAACAACAACAACAAAACACATTAACAGAGATATTATTAGCTGTAACTATGAGGAAGACAGGCTGCAAATTTATTCCAACTAAATTATTAAGGAAATAGAAGACAAAAAAAAAAAAATCTGTCTGCATCAAAATGCCTCTGGGAAGAAAACAAATCAGATTACAGGTTTGCTATAATATGTTATTGAAAATATAGACTTTTCAGCAAAAAACTAAGAAACATGCAAAGAAACAGGAAAACGTGACCCATACTCAGGGGGAGAAAAGCAGTACAAAGAAACTGTATTGGAGAGGGCCCAGATGTTGGACTTGCAACACAAGAACATTTAAAAAGCATATTACCCGCAATGAAAAATTCACTAGAGGAGTTCAATAACAGCTATGAGCTGGCAGAAGAATTAGTTAACTTGAAGACTGGTCCATTAAAATTATCCAGAGTGAGGTACATGGAGAAAAAAGGATGAAAAATCTTGAATGTCAGAAATCCATGAGACACCAGCATGTGTATCAACATACATGTAACTATAATTAGGGGGTGTGGTGGGGGGTAGAAAGGCAGAAAAAGTTTAAATAGCTGAAAACTTTCCACATTTAATGAAAAACATAAACCTATAGATGCACAAAGCTTAGCCAACAAATAGGATAAACGTGTACATCACACCCAAATTGCTGACAACCAGAGGCAGAAAAAAATCTTGACAGCAGCAAGAGAAAAACAACAGATTATACACAGGAGAACAGTAAAATGATTAATGACTCTTCTCATCAAAAATAACAGAGGTCAGAAGGTAGTAAAGCAGCATATTCAAAGTGCTGGAGAAACAAAAAACAAAAACTATCAATCAATAATTATATTATCTATTTTTTTTGGATGTAGGTGAAATAAAGACATTCCCAGAAAAACAAAAGACTTTTTGCTAGCAGACCTAGGTTACAGGGAAGTCTAAAGAAAAACCTTCAGGCTGAAAAGAAATAACACCATATGGCAACTCTATCCACAGGAAGAAATGAAGGGCACCCAAAATAGCGTAAGTTAATATAAAAGACTCCAGAAAAATACTGTGCTACAAACTAATGTCCCTCATAATTACAGATGCAAAAATCCTTAACAAACTATTAGTAAACCGTATCTAGCAACACATAAAGAATACTACATGCTATGACCAAGTGGGAATTATCCTTGGAATGCAAATGTGGCTTCACATCTGAAATCAACTAACGTAATACACTATTATTCACAAAATAAAGGAGAATAAAACCACACAATCATCTCAGGAGGAAAAAGATTTGCAAAATTCAATACCCATATTTATACATTTATTCAGGATAAAAACTCTCAACAATGAGAAATATAAGAGAACTTCCTCAACATGACAAAGAGCAGCAATAAAAAACCCTACAGCCAATGGTGAAAGGCTGAATGCTTTCCCCCTAGTTTTAGAAACAACACTGCACTGATGGTTCTAGTCAGTGTGATAAGGAACGGAATGGAGTGGAATGGAATAGAAGAGAATAACAACATTACATTAAAAAAAGTTAAAGGCATCCATATTGGAAAGGAGCTAAAGTCGTCTTTATGCACAGATGGCATGCTCCTGTATTCCACTAATTAGGATTCCACTTAATCATTGTAATGATTCTATTTAAAAACACCACACTGTAACTAATAAACACGGCAAGATCACAAGATACAAAATCAATATACAGAACTCAAGTGTATTTCTATAAACTAGTAACCATCTGAAAATGAAATTTTAAAAATTGCACTCACAATAGTATCAAAAAGTATACAGTATTTACAAATCAATTTTGCAAAAGGAAAGGAAAAGGCTGATACCCTGAAAACGATAAAATACTATTGAGAAACATTTTGTAATATCTTTTTTAAAAGTGAAGAAACATTTCACGTTCCTGGACTGGAAAACTCAAAATTGTTAAGATGAAAATTATCCCCAAACTGATCTATAGATTCAATATAATATGTATCAAATCCCAGCCAGCTTTTTTTTTTTAACAGAAATTAAGAAGCTGATCCTAAAACATATATAAAAATGCTAAGAAGCCAGAAAAGTAAAAAAAAAATGTTTGAAAAAGAACAAAGTTGGACAATTTACACAACCTAGATTTCCAGATTTACTTAAAGCTAAAGTAATTAAGAGCATGCTACTTGCATTAAGAGTAGGCATACAAATCAATGAAAAAGAACTTGAGAGTGCAGAAATAAACCTTTACATTTATGTTTAGTAAATTTTCAACAATGGTACTAAGGTACTGAATGAGGAAATGATTGTCTTTTCAACATATGGTGCTAGGAAAACTGGATATTCATCCAGAAAAACATAAATTTAGAGACCTGAAATAAACAAATTAACTCAAAATGGATTTTAAGTGAGAGAATACTGAAAAACATTTAAAGAAAACAGAAAATCTTGGTGACCTTCAGTAGGCGAAGATTCTTTTGGCCAGTCCAGATTTGGTGTGAGGGAAATTAGAGTCTACCCGGGGAAGGAATGCAGGGGTCACGGGATAAAAGGTGCTACTGCAGCCATCTTTGGAAAAGAGAATCTGTCTCACCTGGCTAGAGACGCACTGCCTGCGCCACACTGCATCATCACCAAACATACGCCTCTCCTTAGCTGTGGTCTTGTCAGGGTTTCAGTTTCGTAGTCATTTGTATGAAAAACTGATTCCTATCTGACTTTGCCATGAAACTCCATCAGAGATCATGTATTTTATTAGTTCACATCTGCCTATCACATAGCGAAGCCCTTAGAAATTTTATTTTTAAAGTAAATGAAGAAATAGATTGTCATATTTGCTCATGGGAACTAAAGAAAATAGTAGCCATTTCAGTTCCCAGGTTATTACATACTTAATGCAATTCCATGTCCTGGCTTTTTAAAGGCAAAAGTGATTTAAATACCCTTTGCCTATAAATATAACAATTGTTTTCCTCACACATAGTATAATCACAGTACAAGTGCTGTAGTATGTAAGTCAATCCACCAAACCAGCCTAGGATGACCAAAGACAGTCTTATCCAGAGAACTATTTGACAGATGTGTCAGTTTCTCTAAAATAGTCTGCAGCGCCAAAGTGTTGAATACTTTATGATTCTTTTTACCAAGAGCATGCAAATGACATAAAAAGTCCTTTTATCAAGAGCATACAAATCACACAAAAGACTTAAATCAATTTTTGTAACAGAGGTAGAGATGTATTCCCTTTAAATTGTCACATCTTTAGCAATGTCAAGGTGTCTGCAAGGGTTAAAACAGATAGTCAATTTTTAACAAAACATCCAAAATACTTGGCAGAAGCTAGCTAAATAGCCCATGTCCTCTGTGCTCATTATGGTTATGTCTGTTACTATATTTATCATGTTGTACTGAAATCATCTATTGATGTTTCTCTTTTCCTCTAAATTACATAATATATTATACTAAACGAGGGCAGGGACTGCTTTTATTCAAGTCTGCATGCCAACACCAAGCACCGTGCATGGCACGCAGAAGGCACTAACGGTTTTGTGTTGGAGAACAAAAAATTTGTAAAGTGTCACATAAAATCGTAGGAAAAGTGTTTCAAAACCTGAACTAGGGATTGTGCTATGCAAGTTTTTTAGCTATGTAACCTTGGCCATATTATTGAATCTTCCTGAAATTCCAACACCTCATATATAAAGAAGGAATGATGCCCAGTAATTCGCAGGGACAATGTAAAGTCTACGTGAGGTGATGTCCATACAGCTTTTCAGCGGAAAAGGAGCTACGCAAATAACAGTTACAGACAAGAATTATCAAGGATTAAAGCAAAGACTTTAAAGTACAAGTTAACAATCAAGAAAAATTGTACTAACAGGGATGAGGAACTTTTTGATTTCTTCCAAAGCATGTCCCATCCTGGCATAAGCTTCTGCAGGTGGGGCAAACACTTCAATGAGAACATGGAGATCATCATTGAGATGGAAGTACTTTGCTTCTCCACTTTTCCTCAACTCTTCTTCCTGGAAAAAAGAAAAAAGAAATCACATTCAAAAATGTGTCATTGTAAGAAATGAAAAAATAAAAACATAAGTAAATAAAAACTAATCTCCCAAAATAAAAACAATACATTTGGCATGCGGTTGACACAGAAAATCCACGCAACAGTAGACACCACTCTAGAAAAGAAGGTTTAAGCTACAAATGTCATCCTGATATTCCCAGGCTTTTACACACACTCCAAAGGCTTCCTACTGCTGCTGGAATAACATCCCACTCCAGATGCTGACTTGTAGGAGCTCCATCATCTGCTCACTTCCGCTGCTAGGCTGTCTTCACCTTCTCCAGTCTCCTTTGCTCAACCCTCAGCAGCAGCTGCCCATGCTTCCTTTGTGCTTCTCAACCTGGCTGAGCTCACGTGCTCACTTCTACACTGGCTATGTGTGTCTGTGATGCTGGTACAAGGCACTTACCACTATCTGAAATATCTTATTTTAAAAAACATGTCTATTTTCTCTTAGTAAAAAGTGATTACCATGGAGCAGACACTGTGACTGCTTTGCTTAGTGATGCATTTTCCATGTCTAGAAAAGTGCTTGGTATACAGATGTTCAACAAAGATTTGTTGAATGAATGATTAAACATTCATTCATTGCTATGTCAATTTGCTCGTTCACATATTCATTCAAAAAACCTTTTTACATACCAAGTACTACATTCTGAGAATAAAACAGTGAATAAAACAAAATGAAAGACTTTATTACATTATTTGACACAATTATGACAAAAGTTTTAAATCTTTGTTTCCATAATGAAATGCAGGAGGAAAACTAGGAGGAGAAAAAACAGATTGTTAAGGAACTCCTGATTTTGCTCCCCTGCCTTTTCCTAACTAACCTTCAATGTTAGGTCCTCATTTCAGAATCTGGGTCTTCCATTAGTCTTTGTTTCCAATATTAATATCAGACAGATTAAGATTAACAGAAATCTGAGACTAATTTCCAAAAGATAAGAAATCTTTCTAGTCTCTCAAAAAGGCTATCCCATAACCAAGGGAACCCCAGGAATTCTGGCAATATCACCTTTTAATTTCACAACTAAGCAAGAGGCCAATGATGAAATGCTAGAAGCACATAAACCTTGACTTCACCCTTGAAGGATTCAACTTCTGTGACTTGACTATTTGAACTCTTACGAAGAAAAGAAAGAGTAATACACAGAGCCGGAAATGAGCATGGGATTTACTTAGCTATACTTTCATCTCAGCTATGCTGGTCCTAGCCATGTGAGTTTAGACAGACTGTATGTAATCCAATACTTAATTTGCAAAATCTGTTTATTGGTAGCACATGTATGTTAATGCAGAACTACTGAGAACACAAGGGACAGCTTTATACAAATGCTGGTGAAAGGAGACAGTGTATACACTACCTAGTACACTGCCTAACATACAGTAGGCACCAATACATGCTAGCTTCCATCATATTAATAGAAGTATGCCAGAAACTGAATGAAAGGAAAAAACATAAGGGAAGGTATGTAAATATAAGCTGCCACAATATTCTATAAATTTCCTTTGAAATTTGTTTTGACTATAAAAACCATTATCTTACGCCAACTCTTCATTGTTCTAATCAGAACATTTCAACCATCTGATCTGAATCTCTCTCATTGCTCAAGTTTTAAAAATTGGATTCTATGTACAGCGATTCATCTCTGAAAGCACAAATTATTGAAACAAACATTTATCCTTTTCTAATAGAGTACCAAAATAATGATTTTAATTGTTCATTCTTATTCAAGCATTTTTATTTCTATCACAAACTTAAGCAGGACAGAGAGGCTTTCTTATCATAGCTGTAGCCATGGTACAATTCCACAGAGGAGTTATTACCAAACCACTCTATAGATTAATGATGAGAGGCAATGTGTTATTTGGAGAAACACATAGATGCTGAAATTCTGCATTAAACCCCTAATCCAACATTTATTGTATGACTTGGGCAGGTTACATTACCCTCATCTTAAAGGGGTGATTTTTAAGTGGGGAAAATAATAGTATAGTACTTATCTCAGAAGGCTGTTATGGTAATAAAGGAGTTAGCAAACAAAACATCTTTAGGATGAAGCCTTGCACCTAATAAGCACTCAGTAAATGATAAATGTAGTAATGCTAATTATTATATAACTATCATTTTATTTATTCTATTATGTATAGTATAGACGATGCAGGCAAAACATCCCACACCAAGTTTGGCACAAACTGAAGGCTCAACAGACCAGAGCATTGTCATGATTATTATGCTATGTAACCAACTGATATACATCAGTAATGACCCCCATAATTTCATAAACGTAGCGAATAAATGCAGAAAATAAATTATATTCACATTAGATTTTAAATAGTGAACACTTTTAAAATCTAAAAGGATGAGATTAAAATAATAAGGGAATCTCTTTAGAAATAAACATATTAACAGATAACTTTTGAAAACTAAAACTAGTAAAAAGGATCAACTGAAATCAATATTCAAGAATTCAGGCAGGCCGGGCGTGGTGGCTCAAGCCTGTAATCCCAGCACTTTGGGAGGCCGAGACGGGTGGATCACGAGGTCAGGAGATCGAGACCATCCTGGCTAACACGGTGAAACCCCGTCTCTACTAAAAAATACAAAAAAAAAAAACTAGCCGGGCGAGGTGGCGAGCGCCTGTAGTCCCAGCTACTCGGGAGGCTGAGGCAGGAGAATGGCGTGAACCCGGGAGGCGGAGCTTGCAGTGAGCTGAGATCCGGCCACCACACTCCAGCCTGGGTGACAGAGCGAGACTCCGTCTCAAAAAAAAAAAAAAAAAAAAAAAAAGAATTCAGGCAGTGACGATAATACAGCAGATGGGATACTAGTATAATCTTGTTTTTGTTTTTGTTGTTGTTGTTGTTGTTGTTGTTTTGGTTTTGGAGACAGAGTCTCGCTCTTTCACCCAGGTTTGAGTGCAATGGCTCAATCTCGGCTAACTGCAACCTCCGCTTCCTGGGTTCAAGCAATTCTCCTGTCTCAGCCTCTGGAGTGGCTGGGATTACAGGCGTGTACCACCATGCCCGGCTAATTTTTATATTTTTAGTAAAGACGGAGTTTCACCATGTTGGCCAGGCTGGTCTCGAACTCCTGACCTCAGGTGATCCCTCCGCCTTGGCCTCCCAAAGTGCTGGGATTGCAGGCGTGAGCCACCGCGACTGGCCAGTATCCATTTAAGTTGCAAACCTGTCACTTAAATGATCATCTGTGGTCACCCTCAGTAAAATGCTTTTGAAAGAATGACTGATGGATCACGTGACAGAGGCTACAGCACAGTATGGGACAAAATGGGGAGGGGAGTACAGGTAGGCAAGAGGTAGACAAAGCTGATGGAAAAGAGTTGAGAGAGAAAATGACAGACTGGGGGCTTTACGTTATCAGTTCAGGCCCAAAGAGCCAGAAGCAAGCTAGAGTGCACTGTTTGCAGCCACAGGTTGACGGGGTCAACAAAGAGATGCAGAGTTCAAATCTGTGTGCAGCTGAATAAAAATGCAGATGCCCAGCCATCTCTTATGTGAGACTCAGGACACTGTCTGGATAACAGCAAAAACCTAAGAATAAATTAAACCTGAGAACAAACTGACATTTGGGAGGATTCATACAACTTTGAGTACTCCAATAGTGAAATGCCACAGAGCCTTCCACAAGGCAAAAGCCTGTCTGGTGATCCTTTTCCCATGTTGCTTACACAGCTGAGGTAGTTCCTTGAAGGGAGATGACAATTCTCACGCTTCACTACTCCTCCTCCTTATCATCTCCTGGCCTACGATCAATCTCTGCTTAATCAAACATGCAGAGAACAAGAGAGCTATGTTAAACCCAGGGAAAAGGCTGCTTGCATACAGTAACTATATTTCCTAGTGTGTGAGCTTCCTCCTAGTCCTCCCAAAACAATGAATTTCTCTAATAAACCCAGATAATATATTCAAATTCTCTGAATCTCAGATCCCAGCAAGCATCAGGGACATTTTACTAGAGTGACTTTACACCAAGGAGAGGAAACACTTAGCCAGTTTGAGAATTAACAGAACTGATTCTGACCTAACGCCACTCCCCTGAGGGCCACCAAGCAGAGTGGGGCTTACGAGATTAGAAGGTAAGGAGACTTGTGGTCCCAGTGCACTGACAGTGGGTTCAGTGGATTCTAAATCCACAATGTATGCTACTCCGCTCCCTGGTTCCCGAGGATCTTGATAAAATATACACAATCAGCCACTTGCAGAATCACCATATTGATTCCCAAAGACATAAAAATGAAAGAATCAGTGAATAGGTGATAAATGATCTGGAAAAGAGGGCCAAGCATGTAAAAACAGGGTGTCCCATGCAAATGCAGAGCAGGCATTCAGCCAGGTAGTCAAGAGGACTCATTGCAGCAGATGCTAGAGCACCTTATTCCCCAGTAGTCTCCATGCAACTCAAGGTGCTCATCAGCAAAATGGCCACGGTGGCTGGGAGGGAAGTTGCATTACTTCGTAATACAGATCCCGTCAAAAAGGATGACTGGCTATTGACATGCTGTGTGTCCAATATGCCAACAACAGAGAACCTTGATATGACAATATAATCTGGAAGGCCCACCAAGCCTTGACACCAAGCTGATAATATTTAGGATCTCTTTTATTATATGGGTAGTCAGGCACTTGCTGCTAACTTGGGCATACAATCCAGATAAAGCTTTGCCTTCCTTGTTTCCCTTCTACCTGTAAAATTCTTGGTGGATGCCCTGATTACTACCACTGTATGCCTCAAAACACTGCTTCTGACCAAGCAGTGATTCCGACCAACCCCCTTAGCAACAAACTAAGTAAGTGGGACACTGGAATCCTGCTTGTGGATTTCACTGCTCATATCGTGCATTACCAGATGGCCTTATTAGAGCATGAACTAAGATATCAGCAAGGGTAGAGAACTTTCCTGCAAAATACACATAATTTCTGACCAACTGGCCAAATATATGTTTTCATTTTCTCCCACTGCCAGAATAGATGAGTCAGGGAATTGAAGTCATAATTTAAGACAGTAATGTTTAGTGAGTAATTAAAAAAACCAGGCCATGCACTGGAATCATTTCAAACACCTACTGAAATTCATTTTGAGGCTCTACCCTAAACAAGTAGAGGTAGGGGAATCTGTATTTTTAAACAGTACCCCATCAAAATCTGATACATGTCATGTTTTCCATTGCTGTCGAAAATATATGGGTGCTGGTATCAGAAAACCATGGGTTTATTAACCATGTTAGTCGAAAACAAAAAATTTCTCAAGTTAACCCAGATAATACACTCAAGTTCTCTGAATCTCAGTTTCCTTACAGGTAAAATGAGGAAAATATTATCTCCCACCATTTTTCCAAGGATAACATGAAGGAACACATGTAAAATGTTTCACACAGTGCCTGACTCACAGTGGCAGTTCAATAAACAAATACTGGCCATTTTTATTATAAAAGCTATTCTTTAGATAGCCTTTTTGTGAGGATGTTGGATTGTGTTGAAATCATCTGTGTTTAAAAAATCACTGTTCAACATTGCACGGTATGTGATCGCTCAATGTGGATCTGATTCTCAGTAAATCTTTTAATAATGAGAAAACAACATGTGTCTTTAGAAAACAATGTAAGTGACACACATTATGACATGAGAAAATTCCTTTCAGAATTGGCATATTTAAGAAAATGATCAATAAAAATAATAGTATTTTTAGCTGGTTAAAAAATGACTATTAATGTGAATACATCTAAGTAGAACAATTATGTGTTAGAACAATAAGCAATTACTAAAACACTTAAAATCAATTTTAATAACATTCTAAAATGCATACAATATCAAATAAAAAGCAAAAATAATAAAAGTATATACATTATAAACTCAACTATATGTAATGTCTGCACAGAAAAAAAGACTAATCTAAAATGCAAACAGTAACGATGAGACTATAGATAGCTTTTATTTCTTTTTACGATAATTTTAATGTTATCTTACTTCCTACAAGGTGACATATTACAACTGCAATCAAAACTTTAAGTATTATGCTTTTATTTAATGTATGACTATAAATGTTATAGATGCAGGTTTAAGTTACTACATATTCTGAAGCTGACCAGAGTGACTCAATTTTCTAAACAGTACCACAAATAAATCCCCTTATGTAACTATATATGAATACAGTGGACAATATAAGAGTACATAATATAACATAACTCACAACTTAGCCATTTTCTATAATTAATATTACCTTGGCCTTGTCTCTCATGGAACCTTTCCCAAGGATGGACATTTTTGTCAAAGTTTCTTCTTGTAAACGCTTCAGAGAATTGCCACGTGGACCCAGAAGTTTCCCCACAAAGTTGAACTAGGAAAAATAAACAACCAAATTTGTAGCATTTATATCTGAAGGAAATTTCTTAATCTTGAACATTAAGAAACACTGTAGTGTTCTACACATCACTGATTAATGGCAAATATTTAAGTTCCTGCTATATGCATCAAAATATGATGTTTCCCACAAACCACATAAAACAGGGCTAAACGTAAAATAAAAAACCCTGATATATTTCTTTATATTTATTTCAGTGATGGCTACATTCCACAACTGTGAATGAAGCTAATTTCCCAGAATTCCTTGGTTGCTATCCTAACTGTTTCAGCACACGTTGAATATCACCATGAATGAACACTTACAGGATGAGAACGTAGGTGAGAAAAAATGACAGCAGGTGTCTCTAACATGCACTACACCGGTCACTGTGGAATACCTGGTTCTTCTACCTGGTCAGCCCTTAGATCTGGTTACTCAGTCAGTGAGAGGACTGGCCTAGATGAGTTCTTAAGCATTTGGTGGCTAATGGAAGCTTTACAACAAAATTTATTGCTTCTAAAATAACTAGCTATGGGAATGTGGGCCATTTATTTAACCTTAGGTGTCTGGGGTTCCTTATTCAACAAGCAGAATAGTAGTGAATTAATTAAGGTATGCCTTCTGTAACCAGACTACCATGATTTAAAACCTAGCCTTTTCTGTTTGCCAGCTGAGTAACCCTGGGCAAGTTACCTAACCTGTCTATACCTCAGTTTCTTCATCTGTAAAACAGGAATGACAACAAGACCTGACTTCATAGGGCTGTTCTGATGATTCAGTCAATATAAATACTGTTTAAAACAAAGCTTGCCAGATAACAGACACTCAATACATACATCTAGAATAAAAAAAAATAAATAATCAGGAATTTCACACAATTTTTAAAAGCCTTGCTATAATTAAGGTAAATCATGACTACTTCTTGCTTCCAAATAGAAAATCAGCAGGGAGGAAGCTGTTCGCCTTGGCAAGATGCTTGATTACAAACTCACAGAGCAGCCACTTCTTCTGCGATCCATGCCACTGCTGCGCTGCTGTTTCTAAGAGAAAATTGTTCCTCAATTTACCTAACTATGGCAATTGAAGTAATTTTCCTGAAATAAGTACTTATCACTTTAAAAAATCTAAATGGTATTTTTTCCTTCCCACTTTTAATTTTATTGGTCTTCAACCAAAACTCAAATATATATTTTTAATCTTTGCATGTAATTATTTTTTGCTTGTTAAAATGTCATTTTCAGTAAAATATTTTTAAATATAAAAGTTATACTTGCAGAGTTTGCAAAGTCGAATACTACTACAGGGTGGAAAAAGTGGAGTAAATTGGAGCAAGAATCATGTGGGACTGGGTACTGACCATACAATCCCACCTGATTCTAGATCCCCATTCACTTTTATTATCTTTCTGACAATTCTATTATTTGGACCTTGGACATCCTGAGATGGATTGCTATCTCTAAATTTCTCTTTTATTATTTGTATCTGTTTTACTTTCTGGAGAATTTAACTACATTTCCTATATACCTATTGATTCCTTCATTTTTGCTATCAAATGTTTAACTATGAATAAGACTGTCTTATAGCTGTTTCTTCTTTATGGTGTTTTGTTTATATTTTGTGGAAACAATGACATTTCTCATCCTTTCTGAAGATATTAATGACAGCAGCCTGTCCCCACCTTGGAGTTTAAAGTACCTGCTTCTTCCAAGAGTCTCCCCTTCCTCATTTTGTGAGCTGCTCCCTTTCTCTTTTATGGGATTTTATCAGATGTCTGGTAATCCTCTACTATCTGTTCTTAAAAATTCAGGATTGCTGACTGGAAGTTCTGTTTTCATACATGGGACTTGGCAAGAGTAGTCTTCACTGTAAATATGGCAGCTGAGTTATTTTATCAAGAGCTACTGAAATATCAGTATCTATATTTCTTTTCACTTGGGTGAGGCACTTTCCTGAAGAGAAACTCCTCAACCTTTTAAGAGGAGGTGTTAAGTCCAGCTGCCAGAATACTGGGAATCCCATCACTAAGCACACACACTTTTAAAGGAAACAATTCCCTCATTTTCAGTGTGACATCTCACCCTCATCCTCAGTTGTATCTGTCTGTGTCTTAGAGCCTCACAGTTCTCCAATTCGACCTCTTCAAGAAACCTCTGGTCTTTTGCTAGAATGTGGAGGGGCAGATGCCTGGTTTTATAAGATGAGAACATCTTGTGATCTAACTACTTCTTATACCTTTCAACCAAGTCTACTCTTGTCAGCTCTACTCCATAAATCCACCTTTACCATAATTGCTATCTACAATTCCTGAGGGCTCTCGAGTTTTCCCACAGTAATGAACATGTTTCTGGTTGAATTCTTCTCCGCCTGCCAGCTCAGGGTTCTGCTTTCTCTGGTCTCCATTACCATTTATCTATCTATTTTGCAAGCACCAAAATTTTATAGACATCATTTGCCTATTGTCTCACTCTCCCATTCTCGTGATCTTCATAAATTTATGCCTTTTTATTTCATTTATATTTATTTTAAGAGGTTTCAAAAAGGGAGCAAAAATAAATTTTGATAGTCAGATAGTCATAATTATCTTGCATCTTAAGTGGTCAAATAGTTCCCAAGTGATAAAAATTAAGAGGCTTTAGAAATCATCCAATCCAAACATCTAATTTTATATGGAAGAATCTGAAGTCCACAGAGAGATATGATTGATTAAAGGTCACTTGACAGCATTCTAGGCAAAAAGAAAAAGCATTTTATATGACTTTTATATACCTTTAGGGGTTTATTTTTTCCACTTCTGTTAGTGTTTTGTTCACAAAAGGTATATAAATGAATACTGTGACAACCAGAAACACTTTTATTTTCCCTTCTTTTTCCTCTTAACTCGGTTGGTTCAACCATTATCTCCCTGTCAAGTTAGTTCAATCTCCCCAGTCAAATTAACCCTCCCGAGTCTCAGACTTTTCATCCACAAAACACAGATCATACTACCTACTGCGGGTGCAGGTTGCATGAATTAAATAAGAAAGTATATGAAAATCACCCACGAGAGCAGCCAGCAGATTGTGTATACTTGATGCCAAATTAGTAAGTAATAAATAGATGAATTTAACTGTTGTGGATATATACAATTTTATCTGAACAAGACCCACCTTCTCTGGAACTGCCGCCCCTTCAGAACCTATGGCAAGTGGGACAAGGCTACCAAGGGAGCCACCACACTGAAAATGGCATGAGCATGGCATGACCTGGCCCAGGCCACCCAGATCGGCCATGGAATTGGTCTTTGACTGGAAGTCAAGAGATTCTGAAATTTAGAACTAATTATGTGGCTACTGAATGTCCTGAGAGCTGAGTCACAATAGTGGTAATGTGCTTGGTTGCTCTGTCAGGTTCTCAAACTGCAGATGTTGCATCACCTTCCTGTGGGACATGTGGAAATATTTAGCATGTTTATTCGGTTGTCACAATGACTAGGGTCACTACTGGGACTTACGGGCAAAGGCCTATAATGTCGGACATCAGAAATAGATGGTCCCGCCCTTCACAGAAGTGACCTGTTTAAAATGTCAGTTGTGGCCCGGGTAAGAAATACTGCTAGAGGGAAAAGCCACAGACAATTTCCTAGGCTTAAAGTCCTTATTACTATCTTCTCCATTTGCAAGTTCAATTCCTCCATACATTCCATATGATACCCTAAGGTAGGTTTTATTTGTTGTTGCTTCTTGTTGTTTTTTTAAGAAAAAATCCTTCAAGCTAGTCACAGTACTCGCAACAAGAAAAGGCCTCACCAACAGATGGACTGAGTATGTATTTTGGACTTTCTGGATGACACAAACAATAAACAATGAAAGCAGCACAGTTCTCTTATTTGCCATTAGTCCCATAACACCTCCTGATGTCCACTTGCTATGGGTTCTGAAGGGGTGTCATCACACAGTGCCCCCATCTTATCAGCAATGTGAACACAGTGGTTTCTTAGCATTTCTAGCCTTCAGTTTCATAATTTCCAGGTGTGGCTTATAAAAGTCACTACATTTCAGGGTTATTATGAAGATTAAAATATCAGATAAAGTGCTAAGCGCTGTGACAATGTTGAATTTTACCTGAGCAGCCATGTGCACCTAAAAACAGTGATGATTAAGAAATCTTCCCACCCTTTTGTGTTTCTGGAAAGTGCTTGTTGCAAAGGACCACTCTTACCCACATGACTTAGATAAGACTCACAGATGATCCTTTATTTACCTACAGCAAGAACAGACACAAACCCTCAACATTTCCATTATTTTGCCCCTCAAAAATTAGCTGAACTGTTTGTTTCCACTGATCAATCAGAAAAAGACATATATCCTGAGTTAGTTAAACTTTGCTTCCACTTCTCTCCTTTCTTCAGACCCCTGAACTTTGACCCATCTTCAGTCTGAACCAGCAGACAAGCTCTACCCGAAGGACCTTTTGGAAAAAAAGCCAAAGGGGTAGTGTTGTCTGATCACCGTCCCATCCTGCCATTGCCACCCATTCATCCCACTGCCCCACACCGTTCTGGCCTCAACCACTTCACCCAAGAAAGGAAAGCCCTTTTCTGCCTGATTCCTGAGATGTAACTTACAGTTTTCACGGTCAGGTCTTTCTCCCTTTTTAATAACCCCTCTCCCTATTGCCCATAGTCTCTTTCTGTGCTCTTGCAATCACCTTTTCAAATAGTCTCTCCTTACCCATGTCCTGATTTGCTTTTTATTTTAAAACTATATCTGCAAGACAGTAAGAAATAAGAAAATACATTTTAACATTCATTTGTATAATCTAATTTGTCCATTAATACATATTCATTATTAATATTAATAAATATTCACTTATTAATAATTTTATTGTTCGCTTACATGGAAATTATCATTTTACTAATTTGCAAATAATAATTCCTAAGACTAATAATTTTTCTCCGGATGTCAATTATTGTATCTCTCACAGACACACAAATGTTACATTTTTAAACACAAACC